CCTAATGACAGAGTAATTCTGTTTTTCCAGATATGAAAAGATGGAAGAGGAGCAACTCAAAAAAGCCCAACAAGAAGAGAAGCAAGCTCGCCATAAACATGGTGCAAAAGCAGATAAAAAGGAGGGGAAGCGGAAAAAAGAAAAAGAGAAGAAGTCGAAAAAGCACAAGAAAAAGGTTGGTATGAAGCTTCGGTTTTGGAAACTTTTAGTTGCAGTGTGTTCATGTTTGTTTTTAAATTGTGTCATTTCGTATGTCAAAACTGAATTCAATATTTCAAAAGATGTAAAATTCTTCAAGACGAGAAATGTTCCGACTTCTGCCAATGTTTCATCAAAAGAATTTTCCAACCTTCAGAAGAAAAAGAAATCAAAATCATCTGGTGAAAGTAGTGAAGCAGAATGGGTGGAAGTGACAAAAGAAATGAGAGAAGCTGAAGCGGCTAAAGAGAAATTAGAAGAGGCGTCAATGGTGGGTCCAGCGATACCTGAATATTTACTGCAGAAAGAAGCTGCTCTTACCGATGATCACACCAAACATGTCAAGTATGTTTGCACGCTGTTCATAATATTGTTCATTTCTGCATAATGGCCTTTTATTTCTGTTCATCTGTTGATTAGTCATAATCTTCCGATCATTTCACGTTGTTGTTTTTGTCAATAATCTCATACGATTATACGCAAATTGTGCTTTATATTGTACTCATACTCTGAATGTCTTATTGCAGTTACGGAAAAGATATGTTGCGAGGAGAAGCGGCCGCAATGGCAGCGTACATAGCGCAAGGTAAACGTATTCCTCGTAGAGGTGAAATCGGTTTATCGTCAACAGAGATAACTGAATTCGAGAAGATTGGATATGTGATGAGTGGAACTCGACATAAGAGTATGGAGGCGACTCGACTCAGAAAAGAGAATCAGGTTTGTTGTTGAGGCGATTGTTTGTTTTTGTTTGATAGACGATTGTTTTGCGATTATATTCGCATTGTGAGTCTAGCGTTTGCTTATTGTAGTGATTCGGTTGTGCTGTGAGTGAGTCTAGTGTTAGGTCAGAAGTGGCACAGCTGCAGATGCGCATTTTAGTTGGGTGTTTTGATGTGTTTATTCGAAATGATGCATTGGTGCCGGTGATTTATAACAGAATGGTTAATGTATTTCGTTCACTGATTGCAGGTAATGACAGCCGAGGAGAAACGGTTATTGAGTGGATTCACTCACGATGAACGCAAGAAGAAAGAGGAAATTGTTTTGCAGCAGTTCAAAAGTTTCATTGAGTCGAAGAAAACAAAAAATTGAAAAGCTGAAATTTATGATGAAAATTGACCGAAATTCCATGTTTGTTA